TGTTTCTCGGACTGCTGCTATTTTTAAGCTGTGCGAAATACCAAAGTCTCTGCATCCAAGATGAAGATTTCCTGACTTGAGCTAACAACACGCGTGTCCCTTTTCTATTTATTCCCTCACATGTTTCTCTTTGCCTGGTATGAGGGAGACAGCCTGCAAATCAAAGTTATGATTTCATGAACTTCCATCGTCCGACCACAACACAACTCAGGGCAGAACAAAGCCGGTAAAGACCAGAATTGCACACCTTCTTGTGGATCCCCCCCCCTTGCTGGTTCCATGTGTGTTTGAAGAAGGGTAGAACAAAAAGAAAAAGAAACAACAAACAACAAGGATGAACAACAAGGAGGAAGAGCACGGTAACTCTGAGGGCAGCTTGAGGAAGATGCTGAAGTGCGTAGTGGTTGGCGATGGAGCCGTTGGCAAAACCTGTCTGCTGATGAGTTATGCCAATGATGCTTTTCCAGAAGAATATGTGCCTACTGTATTTGATCACTATGCAGGTAAGAACACTCTATTTTCAAAATATATCAGTTTAAGGGATGCACAGTGCTTTGACTTCTTTACCCAAAGTTTGGAAAAGTTATTTTTTTGGACTAAAACTCCCAGGATCTCCCAGGCAAGATGGTGACCAGCAGAGGTGGTGGAGAAATCCCGAGGTATGTAGTCCATGAAGTAACTTTCCCAAACTCAATCTTTATTTAGACATAAACACATATCAGGGTAAATCCATCAGAAATTAACCATCCATTACACAGAATGAGAAAGCTGAGGGAAGAGGAGGAATTGTGAACTGTGTCACTTGGTGCAGCAGGGTCAGAATTTTTGAATCTTCGTCTAAGCCATCCTTTGGTCCTCCATTTGTTTTGGACTTCAGCTCTCACAAGCCCCAGCCAACTTGACCAACAGACAGGATTTATGGGAGCTGAAGTCCAAATCATCTGGAGGACCAGAGGTTGGGAATCACCGGTTTAAGCCAAAGAGTCCTTCCACACTGCACAGTTATACTGCTATGATTCCCCTTGAAGGTCCATGGCTGCCTCCTATGGAATCCTGGGACTTGTGGTTTTGGGAGGCACTATAGAAGTGATCAGTGAGTTCCAGGATGTCATATGATGTTGCCATGGCAGTTAAAGAGGAATAAGAATGTTGTAATTGTGTGCTATGGAAGAGCCCCAGGTTTACCTCTCAAGGGTTCATTTTATTTCACATTGAGAGTTCTGTTTTATCTTTGTGAAGGGATTCCACACCTGAAGTCTGATGCCTCCATTGGTTGCTACATTATATGTAACACAGAGATCAGCTCCCAAATTTTACCTCATCTATGTCAGTGGGGTAGCAAATCCACTCCGAGGCAGCTGCCACACTGCAGAATTAATGCAGTTTGACACTGTTTTAACTATCTTTGCTTCATCCTATGGAATCTTGGCATTTGCAGTTTGTTGTGGCCCCAGAGCTTTCTGACAGAGGAGGCTAAATGGCGCACAAAGTACAATGTACAATCCCAGAATTCCATATCACTGAGCCATGGCAGTTAAAGTAGTATCAAACTGCATTCATTCAGCAGTGTATATGTAGCCTCAGTAGTTTGAGGAGGCATTCACACTCATTTTTTTCTCCTGAGGAGAAGTGGATTGCCACGCTGATGCCTATCGGGTTTGTTGTTCCCATTTTTTTGTGGGGTGGGTGGTTGTGAATCTCTTTGATTAACCCCGGTGTTATTCACACATGCCATAGTTTCAGGATAAAATGGAGCTGTCTCCCTTCCTTTGAACAATACAGAACAATCCGAATTGATTTGGTAGCTTATTCACACTGCCGATGATGTAGATCAATGTGGATCTTTCAGGAAAAGTTGGGGGGGGGGGACAATATCGAATCTCCTGGATTAAGTGGGTTTTTTGCCAGCCCCACCCCCAAAGTGTACCGATTGCATTCAGGATGTGTGTGAACAACAAGCATTCAACCCAGATTCATCCCAAGTAGTTTTCGTAGTGTGAATGGGGACTAAGATTTCAAGAAGCTATCCAAAGTTCCAAAGTCTGTCACCTAAAGTTTGAACTAACGCTCAGAAAATGGGCACTCCCTCCATGGATAAGGGAGCCACTGGCTACTTTGCTTCTGTTCTAGCACTCAGTGAAAATATTGGAGACTAGAAAGTGTGAGGCATTTCAGGCCTAGCTGTGGAGAATGGTTGACATGGGCATAGAAACTCTTCTACAACATAGCCTAAAAGCTGTTCTGATGGGACCCAGAGCTCTATGTGCCTTTTTATTGGTTATGGGCCAGGGCCTAAATCCTGTTGTTAGTTCCAACTGGAATGGACCCATTGAATCAATGGGAATTTGATCAGTTAGCGCTTATGTCATTTGTCTTGATTCATTGTGTCTACTCTATTTGGCATTAATGAATAAGCTTCAAGGTCAGTTTTTGCCTAGTATGAATATTGTGGCATTGTTTCATCTTTTCCATGGCTCAGGTTTTCCATCTCTCTCTGAAAATTAGGACTGTGTGCATGTTGTCCATATAGGTAGTGCTCAAAAAAGGGAGCAAAAAGAATGTGCTGATCTGCACAAAATTTGCATGTGAAAATTGACAAGGATTGACATATAAAATTCATCCCACTATAACGGGGAAGACCTACTATGGCTTGTATGCCTGTTGAACTAATGGTTGTGCAGCTACAAACTGATAAAGGAAAACTTCAAGATCAGTCACTTCTCCCCCTCCTTATGGTTCTTCAGCTTTTGAAGGTAGCCCTTCAAAAAAAAATGATGCCTTCAAAAAGAAGAGTGTTCTGTGATAGTCCTCCAAATGACTCACTCAGTCCTCTGATACATCTTCAGCTAGCATTAACTGGTTCTCAAGCTTTGGTCCTCCAAATGTTTCGGACTTCAAGTTCCCAAATTCTTCAGCAGCGATTAAGAAGGTTCTCTCTCATGTCCTCACCAAGCGAGCCTCTGATGGTGGCAGGATTGAGAGAAAGCCTTCCCTGAAGATCTATGGGGAGATGTGGTCTCTTAAATAGTCTGAACCTAAGCTTTATGGGGCTTTATAGGTCATAACCAGCACTTTGCATTGTGCCTGGAAATGAACTAGTAGCCAGGGAAGTTGTTTTAACATGGGAGTTATGTGCTGTCTCTAACTGGCACCAATCAGCATTCTGGCCACAGCATTCTGAACCTGCTGAAGTTTCTGAACAGTTTCCAAAGGCAGCCCTACATAGAATACGTTACAGTAATCCAAATGGGATGTAACCAAGTCATCATCTGCTAAGATCCCACTGCTTCTCCATAACAGATGCCAATGGTCTCTGGCTATCAATCATATCCAAACTCTGATCCCAACCACCACACTCTCCACTGGTCACAGGAATGGCCATTCAGCAGTACCTATTTTGGCAAAACCACCAGTCCTGGGATTCTGAGTGGGGAACCATAGCAGAGTCCTGCCTGTGGAACTCTTACACTTGGAAATATGGGATTTTGACCCTTAGCTACATCTCTTTGTTGTGTGTGTGTGTGTGTGTGTGTGTGCATAGCAGCCACAGATGTGATATCCCCTGCAGTCTGATACCCTATCCTTCTCCTTCCTGTATCAACAAAGAACAGTAATGGTCACATTTAAAAAATATTTTACAGTTATTATTATAATGTGGTTATCTTATTGACATTTTTGATTTTATTAGTGTGTTGGTGCTGAACTATTTTATTGTATTATTATAATCATTATTTTACTGTGGATATTTTGTATACTGTATACATTTTATTGATGTAATCCCGCTTCAATCTGCAGGGAGAGGCAGGAAATATAAATACAAATTATTATTATTATTATTATTATTATTATTATTATTGAATTTCTGTAGTACTTTTCAACTATTGTTGTCAATGTAATTTACCACATCCAAAATAGGCTGGGTTCCCTGGTTTGCATTAGGATGGCTCAGAAATAAGGGGAGCTACAGCTACTGATTTCTGTCATTTGCCTTTGTAATGGATTTGGCTGAAATGGTTTTAATTCCCTAGACAGTCTAAACTGTACTTTAACAATATCTTTTTGCAATGTTTTTACTTGTGTCTTTTTAAAAATTTTATCTGTATTTGTTAAAACACAAATAATTTGTGTTTTAAAACACACAAAAAATTAAACATTTCTAAAATAAAATTAAAAATGTTTTATTATTTTTAAGATGCTCTGAGTCCCTATTTCAGAGGGAAGACTGGATCTAAGTTAATCAATAATAATAATTTGAATTATAATAACAATAAAAATAATATTAGACCCAAAAACATTGTGAAGTAACTTAGCCTGTTTCCAAACCACTGTGAATATGTACTTTCGAGCTCCCAAGCCCAAAGCCTTCTATCCTGTTCATCTCTATCCCAACCCCCTCTTTTTTTTTTCTACAATATTGTGACTAACTAAATAAATAAAATTAAGGCATAATTTCTGTCTGTCTGTCTATTTATCCATCTATCCATTACTTTCTTCAAGCACTTTGTAATCATTTATATACTAGAATGTAGGAGTTTATCACACATCATTTAAATTGACTTACCCCAGAAACATTTCATTTTGAAACTGGATTCTAAACTGGAGCCAGACAAGTGCAACCTAGATCCCAGCCTCACTTAGCTGGCATCTTTTCGAAATCAGCAGACTCCCAGTTTTGAAAAGATGCCGGTTAAGCACTGCTGGATAAAATCTATTGCCCTTCCCATGCTATCCTGACAAGAACCTTATAAAGTAAGTGAGGCTAAACCAAAGGGTTTCATGGCTCAGTGGGTTTTTAAACCAGGGTCACCCTGCTCTTGTCTAACACTGCTGTCCAGAGGTAGGCAAACTGGTGATTGTTATGTACCTTTCAGTCATTTCTGAGATATGGCAACCCTAAGGTGAACCTATCACTGGGTTTTCTTAGCAAGCTATGTTCAGAGGGGATTTACCATTGCCTTCCTCTGAAAGTAACTTGCCCAAGGTCACCCAGTGAGCTTCCATGGATGAGGAGGGATTTGAACCCTGGTCTCCTGGAGTTTTAGTCCAACACTCAAACCATTATGCCATGCTAGCTCTCCAGGCAAATTGGTGCCCTCTAAGTATTTTTGACTATAATCTCCATCAGTCTCAAACAAGAAAGCCGATGGATATCATAGTCCAAAAAGTCAGAAACCTACCATAACTTAGTCTAGCCTAGCGTTAGCACACCCTTCACCCCTTAGCTGGATATAGTGTTTCATATTTTCATATTTGACATCCAGTGTCCAGCATGATTTGGAAGTCAAGATGACCTATGGGAACTAGGCAAAGGATCACGCTGACTTAGAGGCATATGTAACACCTAGACACCACTGTACGTGTGTCTTGTAATTCACTACTTTCTCCCACAGGCTCTATCCACATCTTGTCAATGGAGCCACATAACAGAACAATTAAAGATCATATCTTCCTCCTACCCCATGCTGTGATCCTTCCTACCTGCTCACCAGGGTTTGTTTCAAATCCTTTCAAAGTTTTGATACTCTGAACTTAGAGTCATCAGCCACCCTGGTTTCTATTCCATGGAAAAACTATCAAGCTTTTGTTACACAGCATGGAACAGCAGCAGGCATTCCTCAAGGGGGCAAAACAGAATATAAATATCTGCCCCACACATATCCAATTTGCTGATACAAACTGTTGCAGGATGATAGCCATTGCTTGCAGACTGGGGCTCTGTTCTGTAGACCTGAGCTCCACTTTCTGTATAGCCCTTAGACTCCATCTGATCCACTCTCCACTTTCCATACCCCTCTATTCCCCACTACTCACTATCCAACCTTTCACACCTTTCTTTTCTGTTAGGCTTGTATAATTGCTAAGGTTGTATCAGTTTGAATTTCAACAGGGAAAAATGTAAGGTACTGCACTTAAGCAGAAAAAATGAAATGCATAGATATAGCATGGGGGACACCTGGCTTGACAACAGTGCATGTGAAAGGGATCTAGGAGTTCTAGTAGACCACAAGTTGAACATGAGTCAACAGTGTAATGCGGCAGCCAAAAAGATCAGTGCAATTCTTGGCTGGTCAGGCCTCACCTAGAATACTGTGTCCAGTTCTGGGCACCACAATTCAAAAAGGATGTTGAAAAACTGGAGTGTGTCCAGAGGAGGGTGACTAAAATGGTGAAGGGTCTGGAAATCATGCCCTGTGAGGAACGACTTAGGGAACTGGGTATGTTTAGCCTGGAGAAGAGAAGTGATATAATAGCCCTGTATAAGCATTTGAAGGGGTGTCATATGGAGGATGGAGCAAGCTTGGTTTTTTGTTGTTGTTTTTTGTTTTTTGCAACTCGAAAGAATAGGACCTGGAACAATAGATGTAAGCTACAGGAAAAGAGATTCCACCTAAACATTAGGAGGAACTTCCTGACAATAAGAGCTGTTTGACAGTGGGATATGCTACCTCAGAGACTGGTGGAGTCTCCTTCTTTGGAGGTCTTTAATCAGAGGCTGGATTGCATTTGTCAGGGGTGCTTTGATTGTGAGTTCCTGCATGGCAGAATGGGGTGGACTGGATGGCCCTTGTGGTCTCTTCCTACTCTATGATTCTGTGAGTTTGTGTATTTGCATACAGCTTTGCACATTTCTATATGAAACTCTCTTAATCCATTGAAACAGGAGTCTCACTGCAGTTGGTACTGGTATAGGGGAGAAAGATCTCACAAGTTACCCAACCTCTCGCAGGCTAATCTAATTAATGCCCCCAAATATCAAGGAGACACCACCAAGTCCCCCACATCTTTGGGCTAACTCTAACAACTTCATCACATTGACTCTCTGCTTAACAGCACTTCTGTATATTAAGCAAATATCAAAATGTTGAACTTTGGAATGCTCCCATATCCAGTTCCAAGCCATTAATAAACATATTAGGAAAGGCCATTAAAACAGGGCTGACTGAAGCATCTCTGGTTTTCCCCTGCAAACTCAGTTCTGAGGAAAGATCTTACTGTTGCAACACATGAATGATTTACCACAAGGGAGAATGAGGGAGAAAGGATGAGTCTGGCCAAGTGTGTGTATGTGTGCATTTTAGATTTAAGATGCCTGAGGTGTACAAACTGAAATCATTTCGGAAAGCTTTAAAAAAAAACCTGGCTGGCATTGATCTTGAACCTAACTCTGCTTGTGTGCTCATTTCTGATCTCTTGCTGAAAGAAGGGGCACAGGTATGGGAATAAAGTGGGGAGAGGGAAAACTTCCAAAATATAGAAATGGTAAGTTATGACTACTGTAGTTTACCTGTAACAAGTAACAGGGAATAGAAAGGTCTTTTAGCTATATGCATCTGAGGAAGTAGACTGAAGTCTAAGAAAGCTCATGCTGCCAACTTCCTTCTTTCCGTTAATCTCAAAGGTGCTACAAGATCTTTCCACATACTGATTCTACAGACTAGCACAGCTATATCTTTGAAGTAACAGGGAGTCACATTTCAAAAATGAAAAAATAAGAGGGAACAGAATTCCTTTACTGGTGTAATAAATAATGGCCTATATTTTGCATCACCTCAGGAATAGGTAACTTAGAATCATAGAATCATAGAGTTGGAAGAGACCACAAGGGCCATCCAGTCCAACCCCCTGCCATGCAGGAACTCCCAATCAAAGCATCCCCGACAGATGGCTACCCAGTCTCTGTTTAAAAACCTCCAAGGAAGGAGACTCCACTACTCTCCGGGGGAGTGTGTTCCACTGTCGAACCGCCCTTACTGTCAGGAAGTTCCTCCTAATGTTGAGGTGGAATCTCTTTTCTTGCAGATTGCATCCACTGTTTCGGGTCCTAGTCTCTGGAGCATCAGAAAACAAGCTTGTTCCCTCCTCAATATGACATCCCTTCAAATATTTAAACAGGGCTATCATATCCCCTCTTAACCATCTCTTCTCTAGGCTAAACATACCCAGTTCCCTAAGTTGTTCTTCGAATTTCATAGAGTTTCTTAGGCAAGAAATATTCAGAGGTGATTTTGCCAGTTCCTTCCTCTACAGCACCTGGTATTCATTAGCAATTTCTCATCCAAGTGACCCTGTTTAGCTTCCAAGATCAGATAAGATCTAGTGACTAACCAGGTAGCATTAATGAATACAGAGCAGGTACAGATCCATAATTATAGGTTATGAATTTATAACTGCAATAAAGAATGACAGCCAATGTTTTCTAGTTATTTCCAAAGGTTACTAGAAAACATCACATTAAGAATGCATAATACGTTCATGGGCAATACATCAGATTCATTTTTCAAACCTGACAATGAGTAACTGTAACTAATTACTTTTCAAATGATATAATGAGTAACTAATGACATTATGAGCTGCAATATAATGATGCAACTAAGTGGCATTATGAGTTGTAATGTAATGGTGCAACTAATCACTTTCCAAACAATATAACACATTACTAATAGCAAATAATGAATTTACCGGTAGTTTTTTAAAAAATAAATTTCCAGGCTCTGAAATCTTCTGGATGTTGGGCTACAACTCCCATCCTCCCCAGCCATAGCTCAGGCTGGGCCAATGTTGATATGAGTTGGAATCCAACAACCTAGTAACATCTGGAGGGCCAGAGGTTCCCCACTCCTACAGTGAAGTCTCCATATCATATTCATTCCAAGATCCAATAATATTCAAAAATTCAATAATATATCTAATATCCACAATTCCCATAAAAATAAGTCAGGAGCAGACTAGTCATTTCAGCACTGGCTTAAATTGTGAATACATACAATGAACACAAAGATATAGCTGTGTTAATCTGTAGAATCAGAGATGTAGAGAGATCTTGCAGCACCTTTGAAACTAACTGAAAGAAAGAAGTTGGCAGCATGAGCTTTCATTGTCTTCTTATGCATCTGAGGAAGCAGACTTAAGACTGTGAAATTGTCAATTTTTTTCCCAGCTAATCTCAAAGGTACTACAAGATCTTTCTAAATCTACAATGAACACAGATCACTGGACTTATTTCAGACATGCTACAAATCTGAAGGATTGTGTTTTATTTTGATACAGGCTTTCCAAATTTTCCAAATATCTTCATAAATTTCTTAGAATTGTTTTTCTATAAAAATCAAATATGGGAGAAAATAAGACTGATACGAGTTGATCATCTGTTTATAGGGCTTTGATAACTTATGATTCTTGGCTGGAATCCTCTATCAGAGTCCATGTTGCATAACTTTGTGTCTACTTAGCTACATAGCAGAAGCACTAAGAAATCCTATTAGTAAATTTTAAAGATGTTTAAGGGGACACTGGCAAGAGTACCACTAGTGTGTAAGGGCACTTCCATTGTGCATCACTCCCAATGCACATTGGTCACTTCACTGGCTCCTCTATATGGTAATGTAATTGGATACAGACATTATGGAATTGGAACACAAACCAAGTCCACTTACCAAGGCTAAAATTAATCTGTACTGCAGAAATAATGCAGTTTGACGCCGCTTTAACTGCCATGGCTCAATGCTATGGAATCCAGGGATGTGTAGTTTGTTAAAGCATCAGAGCTCTCTGACAGAAAAGGCTAAATATCTCACAAAACTATACATCCCAGAATTCCATAGTACTGAGCAGTGGCATCACTAGGATGGCATCCCCCATTGCAGTAAGTCATGGTGTCATCCCCCCCCATACAGAATCCGTAGCAATGTTTTCTGTACTGTTGCTCATAAATTGTAATTCCCATTGGTCACTGAATGCAGTGTTAACAGTTGTGACATAAACAACTAGCAAAATTAAAATTATACCTTTAAATTACAATAGCATACACATAGCCTCAATGTATTTACATGTACATAGTCTCATGTGGTTAAAGTTTAAAATTTGGTAAGATGTGGTATTTTTAAATAAAGTTATAAAATAATTTTTTTTAAAAAATTAAATTTTGTTAAAACTTGGGGGTTCTCCTTTTCTGCCCACTGAGCCTTAGCCCTGTCACACCATCACTTCAACATTTTAAAGTGACACAGGTGAATGCCACAGCCTGCTTTTGCCCAAAGACAGATGTTTGAGAAGCAATGGTGTCACCACACCTT